GGGCGCTTTAGGGGTCGATTTAGTTTTTAGTTTTAGTAGAGGTTTTACGACACTCGCAACTGCATGAGGTTATATGAGCGCCAGAAGATTAGAGGTGTTACAAGAGAGTAACAAACATAAAAAGAAGAAGGGGAAATAGGGACGATAGATGTTTGATAGGAAAGAAGAAGCAACACCAGAGCACCCGCCAACCACCTACTACGAGTCAATGACATTTGAAAGTATGATATAACGTCATTGTCCAAAAAACAAAAACAACAACCAACAATAACTACGATTAAAACTACCGACATTATCTAGAAAACAATATCCTATAGGGAACAAGACATTTTTACTGCGAAGTTTACATTAACACGTGTAAGTGAAACATGCATACAGGAAGTCAGAGCAACCAGCACAGATTTACGGTGACAACAAAGTCCCACAACGAGACTATGCTGCTGGGTCGATCATACCTTATCGTGAAAAACTAGATAATAGAGATGGCGCCTTAACATTGAATATTAAAATTATACGTGAGTATATCGTCAGAACACCCAACACCAGACCGGCCGAACAAAGAAACGTACCACCAACTGAACTCAATGTAACGGCGACTACACTGTAGTGTTTAAGCATTTCCAAAGAGATTATATAAAAAGTTCTTAAAGGTCATTGGGCATTTCGCAGTTGCACGTAGGAGACATAAGTTCGATTCTCGAGTGGGGGCATTTTCTATTGAATATCTCCGCCAGTTGACCTGGCTGACAATGTTGAGGCTGCTTAAGTTATCTTAACTGCCAATTGTAAAGGGGGAGGGGAGATTTTTAAAAACGTGCAATAAAAATGCAATGTAACACAAAACATACGAAGACTATCGGTAAAAATAGGGTCGAAATTGTCTTTATACTATCCAAAACGGCTATCTGTTTTCGAAAAGTGGCCGTCTTTGACACACAGCCGTCATACTCAAAGTCTATGTAATGTTATTGTAACGATAAAAAAAAAATAAAGTAAAGTTGTTCCCGCATCCGATCCGAACATTAGGGATAGCCTTGTTAGTGAGACAACTTCCTGGGCCTTCGGCATATTGTGGTAGGGTGGCCAGTTCCTTTCCACGCCGCCTTTACTTTACTTCCCCGACTCGAAGTCAGGTTCCCATTACTGCTGGGAGGGCAGGAAAGGATGAAAAAAATCCGTGTTCGAAACGAGGCTCGAACCAGACTTTCCGCTTCAGAGACGAGCGCAAACAAATAAACTAATTAACTAATTAATTTATTTATTTAAGTATTTTTTAAAAGTTAACTTTAAAAAAACCCCGAAAGGGCGGAAATCGGAAGCGGTTGTACAGCTGACTGTCTTATACAGATAGCCGTTAGAACAAGGTCTTCGGTAACTAATTGTTTAAAAGAAGTTAGGGGTGCCCAGGTTGTCTGAAATTATAGATACTGCTGCTGGACCAAATACGAGGAGCCAAAAAGCTCAGTTTAGGTACCCCCCCCCCCCCCACCCTCCCCCTAACCTCTCACTCATTAATAATCTTACCCCTCTAATGTCCCTTTTAATATCACAAAAGTACATCGGACGGGCGTGACATTTTAACCGGGAGAACAAAGGGACAGGGCAGACTGAAGTAAATATCTGAACATAAAAGTTCACAATGTACTTTAAGTTCGCTAATACATGTACATTTATTAGAAAGGTTACAATGGCCTGTTGGCACACAGCGACCTGTCATAATACTATTCGTTCATACATTAACTTAATTGGGATTGGGGTGGTTTGAATGTAAAAAGGTTTTTTTTTCTTTAAAAAAAAAAGGGGGGGGGGGTATTTATGACAGGCGCGCACTGTACATGTGGTAGCATGCTTGAACATAACAAAAGATTAAACTAAACTTTAATCAGGTGTCTGATCCGAGCACAAAGGCCTGCTGTGACCTACAGCCGTATGTACAACTCCAAACCCATACAGGTGAAACTCGCAGGGTCATGACACAGCCCGTAGACTCACATTGTAATAACCTACACTGGGGGGCTCTCTCAAGGCCGGCGTCTTTTGCTCTCTCTAAAACCCAAGAAAAAAAATTTTTTAAAGATTATTTTAAAAAATAATAAAATCGCTGCATTGGTACACAACGTGGGCGCTCAAACGAAGGGTAAAACGCCATTCCCCCTATACAGTCGACTTTCCCTCCGTGCCCTTTATTTGGTTAAATGGAGCGCTCCAATGCGAGAGAGGGGGGGGGGGGTAGAGAGAAAGAAAGAGAGAGGGGGGGGAGATTTAGAGAGAGATTGAGAGAGATTGAGAGAGAGAGAGCGAGAGAGAGCGAGAGAGAGCGAGAGAGAGCGAGAGAGAGCGAGAGAGAGAGAGAGAGAGAGAGAGAGAGAGAGAGAGAGAGAGAGAGAGAGACTCGCCGGGAACGAGGCATTGAGCACGCGTCCGTTGGACCGGAGGTACTTCCCGCGCTAATCGTGACGAGCGTATAAAAAAAGTGTCAGTCAGTAACGAGCATGTACCATGAACTTATCTCTGAAATGATCGGCAATACATGCTATTTGGAACACTTTGGCATTATGAAAAACAGTACAATACAGATTTTATCATCATCATCATCATCATCATCATCCTCATCATCATCATCATCATCATCATCATCATCATCATCATCATCATCATCATCAAGCAGGAATAATTTTTTCAGAAATCAAGAAGAATTCATTCTAAATAAAGTTAAAAGGCGTAGAACAGGGTGCGCCCTCGACCAATGTAAAATATTATGCGACTACGAATTTTACAAAGTACAGCTATTCACTTCATGCTGCGAAACAGACAAAGTTAAAACATTATGCAACTATATATTCAACAAGTAACAGCTATCCACCTCATGCTGCAAAATAGCAGTACATATTATATACAACCAGCATGTTGTAAAGATTTCTTGTAAGTGCCACATTTCCCTGCAGGAAACGTTTACCCCAAGTCCTGTGTATATTTGCCTTGTAATAATACCATAGCCTGACACAAGAAACAAATCTTAAATATATCAGGGCGTCAACAGTTTCTGGAATTTCGCATAATGCCTGTAATGTATATTTTCATCAAAAGTTTCGGGAACTCCAGAATATGCCTATAATGTATATTTCCATCAAGTTTCGGCAATTCTTATTTAGGCTTCAGCTTGTAATTTCTATTTTTAAGAAAGGTAAAGCCCCTGAAATGGCCAAGGGCTAAAAATATCCAAAGCAGAGGGTACGCTTGTTCCACTCTGCCTGCACAGGTCGGGCCAGACAATCACAGTGACAAGTGTACACAGCATATCGCATTGACAAATAAATACATAGCAAAGGCTTCTGTTTAGCCTTTGACATTTACCGTCTTCTCCATAACACTATTAACACAATTGTCACAGAATATTGAATCACACGGACAGAAGACATAACTATTCGTTTATCCACCGCTCGTTTCTTTAAAAAAAAATAATAAGGAGATCCAACTAACCCTGATTCAGTTTTCATCTCTCTTTTTCCAGGCCATCCCAGCCTTCATACACACACCCACCGCTCCCTCAATTCCGAAACATCTGAGCAGAAAGAAAGGCTTCAGCCATTATAATAATAATGATAATAACTAGACAAAATCAGACGAACGGACGTACACTTGAGTTATTTATTCTATAATCATGTCGTTGGACTCACCTCTAGCTTCGTTGGGAAGCGCCACTGGTGTGGTCAAGATCTGGCGGATGAGCATGGAAGCCTGATGCGGCGTCTGCGTGGACACAGAGACGGTCACACTGCCGCTCACACCGGCCAGCCGGACATTGTCCATGAGCGGAACGGGCAGCGGCTGACCAGTCCGACGTATTCTCAAACGGGAGGCGGGGCTCTGAGGGGGGCGGTGCTCACACAGCGCAGCGGACAGGGGGGACGAGGAAGACGTCACTACAAGCCCAGTCGGGGACGCCCTGGAAGTTTGACGCCCGTGTCTCTCGTGGTAGGTGGGAGATCGTCCGGGTCCTCTCGGGGACATACGGGATCCTCCTGGCCGCCCCCTTCCGCTCGGGGATGAGACATAGCGAGGCAAGACACCCCCTGTCGCTCCGCCAATACTGTCCGCGTTGTCGTCGAGGTCAAAGGTGAACACATCCTCGTCAGCTTCACAGCAGACGTCAGGCCGGTTCTCATCATCTGCTATCGCCTCGTCGTGACGCGGCTCGGGCTCAAACTCAAACCCTTGACTGCTACTAAGAGCCGGGTCGGTTCTGAAGTTCTGCGTCATCAGCATTGCCGTGGGAGAACTGCCTCTAGAAGAGTCAGTCACGTGACCACTGTTTCTGACGTCAGTACGTTTTTTTCGTTCGGGGGAATACCCTTCGTCTCTTCTCCTTAAGCCGTAAGAAGCGAGGAGACGCCCGGGACTTGTACCAGAAGTAGCACCCTCGTTGTGGAATGTTTGGCGGACATCCTCGCTCAAAAAATGATGGTCACCCTCTCCTCCACGACGTCTGGAGGGGGCGTTGTCACCCATTGCAGACTCCCCATTGTCGCCGTCGGAACAAAACCGTCGAGTCCGGAGAGAGAAGCTGTCCTTTCGGAACATCCGATTCGTTTGCTGACCCAACACACCAGTGGTGTAAAACACTTCTTCGTCGTCGTCGTCACCACCGTCATTATCGCCGCTGTCGTTACTGGACGACTGCCTGCCTATAAAGTTTCCAGAAGAATCGAAAGTCCCGACCACGCTAAGGGTTCGCTGCCTTAATAAACCGTGCCCGGCGCGAGGCGAGGAACTCCTCTTCCCATCAGTCTCCCCACTGGTCGGCTCATTGTCATCCTCCTCCTCCTCCTCCTCCTCATCATCATCATCGCTATTGAAGTCAAATTGCACACGTTCGAGGTATGACCTATCAGCTGACTCTTCTAACCGCGTGACGTCATCGTGGTTAGCCAGAGCCCGCGGAGTTGACTCTGGGGTACTCGCTCGGCGAAATATATCAGGGGACAGTCTTAAGGGGGCCGCCGGATGTCTCACTCTCTGACTTAATCTTCTCTCGTACAAAGACTTTCTCTGCTGCCCTGGCAGTTCGTCTAGCGCACTTGACACCGTCGCTGACGCTAGAGAGGCCTCGGTTAGTTCTGCAAACTGTTCGACCTGGCTGGAACCCGAACGGGAAATATCTTGACAGTCTTGACCCTCCCCGCGACCTTCAGAGCCCGCCTGGGTGGTATCGTTGTCAGCGAAAAGGAAGTATCGAGGGCGTGGGGGCGTGGCCGTGTTGGCCGGAGAGCAGGTGTTGGCGGGAGAGACCTCAGTGCTGTAGCCGCTGTCGCGATGCGCCGAACCCGGCTGGAGGGAGGAGACAGAGGACGGAGAGCTGCACGAGTCCCTCACCGGAACAGAGAGGCCGGTAGACGGGTCCGTCAGCTGAATCCCTTCTGAAGGAGGGGCGGTGGTGCCCTGGGAGTCCGGCCCGCCGCTAACGGAACCTTGTGTTGTGCCGGAGTCGCTGAGCGGGGCTTGGGCGGAACGTCCACTTTTACACGGACTGTGAGCAGAGTGACCCCTGCAGTACGGACTGCGTGTTCCGCTTTCACTCGGTGGGTAGACGTTGTTGTCAGGTTCAAAACCTCCCGAGGACCCATCGCGGGGGAATAAAGTAGCTGCCTGTTCAGGGTCATGTTGGGGATCACGGTCAAGTTCGCTGTGGGGGTTGTGTTGGTGGGCTGGCCGGTCCCCTGTGTGAGATGTAATGTTATGAGCAACGTGCTCGTCAAGCCGCCTGCTGACGTGTCTATCCGCCATCGTCAAAAATCATTGGCGAGGGATGGCGGGGCGGGGGGATCGTGGTAGTTTTCTGAAACATTCACGTACAACAGAACAGTTAGCAGAGCAAAAGGTTTGATGATCTCATTTGACGGAATATTTGCCCAACTTTTGTTTTCTTCTTTAAAAGTAATGTGTTGAACAAATACGGGATCATATGCGTTATATTACATGTATAATTATGCAAGTTTGAGAGAATCACCTTTCCTTACCCCCCCCCCCTCCTTTTCCCCTTATCCCCACCCTTTGCCTCACAAACGCCTGGTTGGTACGAGCATCTTAGTAGCGGGAGACGGGACTCCTAAAATTATTGTCGAATTACTTAAAAGGACAAATAGATGTACGTGTAAGCTTGTGAAGCGAACTATGAAGGTTATCATCCCGACTTGCCGTACAGTCTAACTCAAGGACAACATCATGACTGACAGGCAGGTAAGCTTCTAAATCTTTAACGAATCTACACTGAGCAGAAAGGCGGGCCCTCCTATGTGAGCAAGGCAAAATGTTAATATATTATACATGTGACCGGGTGAAACAGAGAGGGTGTCAATACCGCTGACCTCTAAGCCACGCCTAACACACACACACACACACACACACACACACACACACACACACACACACACACACACACACACACACACACACACACACACACATCTACTTACTTATCACACGCGCACGCTTACTCATCGTCACGAAATGAGCGCATATATAATAGAATAATATTCACAATGCACTTCACAAAATACATAAATGGATACATAGTCATTTACATAACATTGTACTGAACATGAATCTACTGACATAAAAATGACGTCATTAAAATGTGCCTTTAAAGGTTT